ACAAAACCAAAAAAACCCCAACGAACCAGCAAACCAACAAACCTCTCAGTCCTGTTGCATATGTGATCTCTTGTTATACACATAATTCAATACAGTTAAGCAGACAGTGCTTAGGATGTTTTACATGTTGACAACTGCTTAAATAGAACATAAAAAGCTTTAAACAATAAAAATCAAGTAATAATAAATGTTATTATCACTTATATTATTTTCTTATAATCTCTATAGTGTTATTGGTATATAAATCCTTTAATAATAGCAGACAGTTTTATAACCCATAAGATTTTGTTAAACATAAAGACAATTTTTAATATGCCATGGCACAAGATTTTGATGAGACCCATGAAGTATTCTGGAGAAACATACTGTACTGCCATTTCATTGATCTAAGGTGGCAGATGAAAGTCTTGTCACCCACAGTACCATCTCATTTCAAAGTGAATGCAGTCACAGAGATGGAGTATGGCAATTTTCAATGTAAATAATGTTTTGCCTTCCTGAAGGAGCTCATTTGTTGTCTTGAGGCCATTAGACTTCTGTCCCGGCTTCTTCGGCACTGCAGTTCTGCAATAGGATTGGAGAGTCAGTTTGGGATTGATAATTAACTTCTCACTTGTGCTGCAAACCTTTTTTTTATATTTCTGTAAAACTGAACAAATGACTGGTGCTAATGTTTTGCTCATCAACTTGTAAGTGAAGGCCATTTAAGACAGAAATGTAGGATTTAGCTCCAGCTGCTGCTCTAATGTTGCAGAAAGCTTTTGCTGCAGTTCATTAAATTCAACTTCAGGCAGTCACAAAACTGCCACCTAATTATTTTTTTTCTTTCCTTGGGTGAGTGAATCCTGGTGTCACCAATTTCCTCTCACAGAAACGGATCTACAGAATTCATAATTCTGAAGATTGGATAAAGAAAGCAGTAAGGAAGACACCAACATAATTCTGTTAAAAACAGGTAAGACTGAATCAGTGGAACTTCATTTCCTACCAGTTTTTCAGACTATCTTGGGAGTCAGGCTCTGTATCGGAAATTGATTCTTTGCTAATAGGTCACACGGCCTTTATTAATAACTGTTAGTTTATGTTTTGGGGACTGATAACCAAATTGGAGATTACACAGGTTCAGCCCTCTGGCTGAAAATAAGCAGGCCTGTGGCTGAGAAGTCATTTTCCTCAATACTGAGTACATGGGGTGTTTTAATCTCTGTTATTTCAGTATAAATCAAATTAAATGATGACAATTTCATTTTGTGGAATATCAAAGCTGAAAATGAGATAGATACATGTATGGAGCTGTCACTCCTGACCTTGTATACAGAATATCTGCCTGAACACATCTCTGTTAACACATGGATGATGCTAGACACCTCTTAGAAACCATTTTAAACATACCTCAAGTACAGGTACATGGGTACCTGTACTACCCATGACTTTAAGTTGTTAACATATCTTATAGATGAAGTAACTAAAATCAGAACATCTGTGTGTGTTTGAAATAACACTCTGAAACAGGAAATACAAATAATCTCCTGCCATGGAGCTTCTCATGGAATAGAGATTTTGTTTCATTCCTGTGGTTATTCACTCTTTAGGGACATTACAACCTAAGAGTATTTCCAAATTAGTACACCAAGATTTCACCCCAGCATTCTTGGAAAAATAATAGGTACTGAGAATTTGAGCTTGTGTTAATGATTGTTTATTGTCATATCAGAGTCAGGGCTTCAAAGAGAATCTTCTCCCTTCTATGATTATACACACAAAAGAGGGAGACCTTACTATGCTTTTACAATTAAAATTTAGACAATATTAGTATAAAAAGGGAAAAGTAGAGAAAAATTTAAAGCAACAACAATAGAATGGCAATTCTACATCTTAAAACATGTAGAATTAGGTATCTTCAAGGTTTCCAAATTAAATTAGGTATCTTCAAGGTTTCTAAGTTGCTTCTTTAGCTGTGAGAAGAGAGGAAAAAATTACTTCAGCCTCAAAATTCACATTTTCAATATGCATATTTTTACTTTTGATGGTATGCCTTCATGTACTTGTAAGTTGTCAGCTGGCAGCTATTGTTGTCTCATTGTGATCTTAAGAGTGAGAAGACACATCAAAAGAGAATTAAGGCTATGGTAGCACTCAGTGCAAATCAGAACAGTTCCACATAAGGCTGAAATCTGGCATTTGTGTCAAGCATCAAGACACAATGGGGGCACAGGAATAAAGCTGTGAAGGGAACTGAGTTAGAGTATGAAAGCATGACACAGTATGCACCCTTTGTCTTAGATGACAATTTCATAGTTTTTACATGGCACAAGTTGCGTAAATTAGTTTAGGTTCATCTTGGGAGAAGTTTATGTGGGACTTCATTAGGCAGTGCATTAAAAATAAGCTGTCAGTTCTGGACCGCCAACAAACTGAACTGTCCAGTTTCAGAACTGTTAACTCAATTTTGGTCACGGGGTCAAATCATATTGCTATTTTCTTATAGATATCTTAAGAAGCAGCACTGGATGGAGTTTAGCTGAGAATTAAGTCATATTTTGACACATATAAGTAAGAAAGAGGATTTGGTTTCTAATTATAATTATTCAGAGAATAAAAAATTATATTTTTTAAATGCAACACTGAAATTGTGATGAAATATTTTTTTATTTGTAAGCTAAAGAAAACTGATTGAGAAACAATTTTCTGCCATTTTAAAGAATTATATGACACTCTGAAGGGTATTTTTGAAAATAAAACAAAACCTCATTCATTTTACAATTTCAGTTTCAGAATATAATTCTGATAAATTTAAGGGCTAGGTTCTGAATAAAATCCACAAAATATTAGAACATATGTAGGAGCCTCTAACTCCTCATCTGTAAATGGACAAGTACCAAGTTTTATTTTCTATGAAAAGACAAAGATTTTTAGATACATCAATTCATAATGCTAATTAAATAGGTTTAGTAATTTAACTGCTTGACATGAGATTTCTTTGAAAATAGAAAACAACAAGAGCTATGATCATGGATTATGATCCTGTGGTTAAGTTTTACCTTCACAATAGCTGCAAATCAAAGGACTTCTCCCTTGCCCAGAAAGGGTCCAAATCAGTGCTGGGACTCCAGCAGAGCCTTAAGAAGACTTGGGGGGATTGAGGGTATAACAACCTCCTTCGAGCTCTTGTCCATCGGTGCCAGCGTCTGCAGCTGAGCTGTGCTCAGCCCCCTGCCACCCACCCCCTTTCCAGCAGAGCTGTTACCTGACCCAGCTGGGACAAACAGCATCAGGCAGCACCCAACAGCATCAGCTTGCCAAGGCAGGTCAGATTATCAGAACCAGCAATGGATTGCTCTCCAGGCTGGAAGGGCCAGGCTGGAAGGGTGAGGGGTGTGGATACAGCCACAGGTTGTTGTTAACAACCTGTCACCTTGGCCCTGCTGTGCTCTCATGAGGCTCAGTCCTGTCCCAGAGCTGCCTGACAGCAGAAAGAGGAATGGTATGTGCCAAATGTCATTTAAGATGTGCCATGAAGTCAGCCTTCCCACTTTTCTGCTTAAGCAGGACTTAGAAAAGATGCCTGTTTACAAAAGGATGTAGAGATGCTTCACCAGAATGTTCCCATGGGAAATGCCCTCCAAAGCCAGGGGCACTGCACAAATGAAGGTAAGCAAAATGACACACCCTCAGCCTCTGCTAAAAAATAAATGAACAGGCAAGCAGAGACTAAGATACACACACATACACACCCAAACCACCTCTACCCCTCAAAACAAATGTTCATCTGCCTGGTCATTACCTGCTTTTGGATAGACAGACAGCTTTCCTGTGTTAAAAAACAAACAAACAAACAAACAAACAAACAAAAACTCAATGAGAAGATTTTGAGATATTTTCTGAAGCTAAACTGATAGTGAAGCCAAGCAGATCCTGAATGTCTGCTCAAGTTCACTATTGTTTCAGCAGGATGATTTTCTAGATTCTTTGGATTCTCCAATATTGTAGGTTTTCACATTACTAGAAGGCTAAAACATTTACAGAGCTTATCTAAGACTCTTGATTTACCTCTCACTTCATGTCCTTTTGTCACATTTGCACTAGAAAATCGTACTCTCCTCTAATGTTTTGGGATTCTTTTTACAATAAAGATGATCCCTTTCCCATTAATCCAAAAATCTTGCAAACAGTTGCCAAAATCCTACCATATTTTTTTACTGAATGTGAAGACGATCATCTTCATTATTATACCAGAACTAAATCTTTGAATTTAAATGAGAATTGAAATTTTCTTCTCTCAGATGTTTTTTAACTGCTTATAAAACTTTTGCCTGTATTGAATTAAACATATTCAAATGATCTAAAAGTTCATCCATTCCTCTATTAGGTTTTATGTGGGAATTCAAGACCAATGCTTTTGTGGTTTTTCTGTGGATTCCAGCAGGAGAAAATGTAGGTAGGAATTACTTGTGAAAATCCTGAAATGCCTCAAAAATCAGAGTTGTTTGCTCTCAAAATTGTGCTTAAATCTTTTAGGGGGTAGATTGGAAAGGTTACTGGGGAGGTAATAACTACTGAAACAGGATAAACCCCCATGATACAGTGTGTAAATTATACAGCAGAACTGGACAGGAAAAGAATTGAGTTTTAGAGAGCACAGAGACTGAATATGAGCAATTATGAAAAAGTGCAAAGTGACTTCTTTTTATTCAAGATTCAGCTTGACTTGAAGTGAATACATGTCTTTTAGTGAGATCTTGATTGACCCCTTATTCTCTACAGAAGGATTGTTTTCAGTGGCAAGGAAGAAAATATTTTTTAAATTTCATTTATTGGATATTTATCAATCGACAAAATATGTTTTGTAAATTTCCAGATCAATTAGGATAGTAGAAACAGACTTGATGGTTACCATAGCATCAGAAAGTATTTTTCTTTTTAAATAGAAAGACTAATTTTTAACAAGAATATGTTTGCTAATGCCTTTCAGAAAAAAGAAGAGACTTTTTAAAAGGTGGTCGTATTTTAAGGATCTGGCTTTTATTGTTACTCTATCCCAGCATAGAATACATTTATTTTAAAAAAGACATTAAATGATTTTGTGTCTATATTTATTGTCAGCAATGCATCAGTTATGTAAAAATAACCCAGATGAAAATGTAAGACTTGTTACATTTTCACATATCTCTATTAACTGAATAATGCTTAGTGACAATATACAGAAATTTGCAGTAGTAGTTGTACGTAAACATTTTATGCATTAAAAAAGAAATTTACATAATTTAAAAAATAAAAATGCATTACACAATTTACAAATTAACATTAACAAAAAAAAAGGTAAACATTCCTCAGACAGCTGCCTCCTTGTTCTACAAAATAAATATTCAAGTAAATTAAGTTAGGCAAAATAAACTCTTAATTCTTAATGATTTACATAAAGGTAAAAAGACAGATTTCCATTTAATTCAAGGTATATTTTACAGTGATTTACACATAGAGTTTTTAAATTGCTCTCTTCAAATTGTAAGATTGGAGAAAAAACTTTATTATATTTTGGCAGGAGGAAGGGGGTTTCAAAATTGGTGCTTTATACCAAATATAATCAGGCTTGTGCAGTTGCATGAAAGCTTTAAAAAAGAACTGCTCCAGGACTCAAAGCAGACACAGTAAGCTAGAAACTACAGTTTTAAAAAGGAAAATATAAACCACCACATCAACAGGAAAATATCTACCTTGCTATTTTCTGAATGGTTTATTTGATCACTGGAAACATTACTTTCACAAACTAATAATCTACAGTAGTGGCTGCTTTAGGCACTGGATTTGTAGAAGCACTCTGATTTTTAAAGCAAATTGCTTTTCATTGTATATTGATAATTCACATATTATTTATTTCTGCTTCAATGCTAGAGGACTTAATCACCTTTGCAAAATTTAGATTTACATAAAATTTCAGCCTTCTTTACAGCCTAGTGTTTTTTCCTTGATAATAAGGGAAGCCACTCTGGCTTCAAATTTCCATGCACTTTGTTCATAGAAAAAATAATAATAGAAAAGCACTCTAGATTTTAAATGCAGCACTAGTATGATGCAGATGTGCACCAGATATTCACTGACCAGATATAAAATGTAACACATACTAAAATACTTGCATGGATTGCAAAGGCCAAACATACTTTAAGAATCCCTCCTATCTCTTTATTTATCCATTTAATGTGTAAGGAAAAGGAGATGTCATACCTTTAACTTCAGGTTATTAAATGCTTAGATTTAGGACATAAAATTCTTCAAGGCAAGAACAAGGCAAAAGCTCCTGCTAAGTCCAGCTAGTGTTGTAAATAAAGATGACTCATTGCCAATGGAAGAAACCCTGTTCCCTCAATACCCTCTTGGTCCAAAACTATTCGACAACACAGAATCAGACTTTTAAAAAAACAGAAATCATTATTAAAATCTGTCTCCACATGTAGTTATTGTTCTTTAATATTTTATGACGTTCCCTCCCTCGCACAGCCCCCTCAATATCAGGCTAGCCCAGAGGTCCGAGGCTGTGAGGGGAAGAATATCAGGAGATGGCAAAGATTTCCAAAAGAGCCTCTTGCCCCAAAATACTTGGTTCAGCTCTCTTTATTCTGTGGTGTCCAAGGGGAGAGCAGGGCAAAAGAGGACGAACAGGAAATGTCAGGGGTCTATATAGACTTTGGACAGGGTGGGCTTCCCTGGCTCTCTGCCAACCCCGTTGGGGCAGGAAGGAGGGTCCAGGGTTATCTTGATCAGAGTCACAGGGTCCCGGGGAAGGGGAAATAGAGTACCCATGAGCACACTGTAACAACTTTATAATTTTTCCATGGGTTTTTTTTGGGTTTTTTTGGTTTTTTTGTGTCTGACAAAAGAGGAACCAACCAGGTCTTTCTTGTTTTCTACTCAAGAATGCTGAAAATTAAAATTATCAAGATTTGTATTTATGCAATGGAACTTTACAAAGTGATGTAAAACTGAATGCTCCACTCCTGAAACACATATATGAATGAACCACTGCTGCTGCAGGGGCCATGAAATTTCATCAGCTGCAGCTGGATCAAGGTATAAATTGAGAAATTAAGCCTGCACCAATGATTGTTACCATTGTTCCTCTGGTCATCATCCCCATTTGGGAATATCTACACAGTGGGATTAAGGTAATGTTCTTGATGCAGTAACACCACACTGGTAATATGGCAGCTAAATTAAAGTAGGACCATAATCTCTCTTGAATATCCACAAAATACTCAATGGTTTCAAGAATTATTCTACATAGAACAAAGGTGTACATTTTTAAGAACTGGTATTACTCATTGATGTCCATGAGAGTCTTGTCATTGATTTCAGTGGATCTGGACCAAAGTTTGCAAAGCTAGTTTTCATTCAGTGTGCAAAAACTGGTGCTTCTTGAGTAAATAGAGTGATGAGTAGGCAGAAGTGGTTTAGGTTATAAAAAAGACCTGAGAACCTAATATTGAACTTTATGTAACAATTATTTTTGAGAGGTTGCCTGATAAAGTTTTGTATTGCTTAGTGGTGGCACAGTCACTTGTACATTCCGGCTGCACACAGAAGCCATTTGAGGAGAATAACCCTTCTCAGGTCATGGATCACATCCGTAACAGCCATGTCACATGAGTGGCAAGTCAATGAGCTTCATGTTGGAAGCTCAACACTGAAAAGCTATAAGCACAGAAGAGGTTAACAGTGAGTTTTCATACTGCCAGAGTTTTTTAAAAAGTCATGAATATTAAAATGGCAGAACTATTGAACTTATTGTTTACTTGCCAGTACACTCAGGAGTTTAACTGAATAATTGAAAGAGTCTATTGAATTATCCTAATTAGAAAAGACAAAATGTCTCTGAGTATTGCACTGCCAGTAAGAGTGAAAGAGCTCTCATTAACAGAAGGAAAGAGAAGCAAAACCATTTTATTTTAGTGGAACAATCAGAACACCTTTTAGACAAGAAGTATGTCACTCAGGATGACAGGGCAACCACTTTTCTTTTTCTTCTTTTTTTTTTCTAACAAAGTTAACAAATATAAAAAATCTAGTCATAAACAACCTTCAAAGTACAATTAGAAACCAGTAGGACAATCTTTACCAGTATAGGTAGATGGGGCAAGAAACTAGACACTTGTATTACTGCCATGGTATAGAGTACAAACGGCTGCTGTGATGAGGAATGGTGTGTGTACAGCAAATGTCGTAGCTGATTCCATCCCGTCGCAGTCCAAACTGAACACTACTCTCTTCAGGATTCAAAACCTGTCTACTTGACACTCCTTGCACAAGATACATCATTATCCTTTCTGAAAAGAGGCAGTTTCTATGGCAATACTAGTTAAGTGCATATCATGCTGCACTAATATAGTGCAAAAATTTGCCTTACATGTAGCAAAAAAGATGCAGGCAATAGTTTGAGTTAGAGAAAGTAGAAACGTATTGTAACATTTACAGCAAGTATTTTTTTCCCAGACACCAACCACTAGAAAATAGTGAATGCCTCCTTTCTGGATGTACACATGAGGCCTTTATAATTTGGAGTGGTAACAGGACAGAATTTTGCAAGTGAGTCATTGCCCTCTGAAATGCAGGTTAACACAAGTTATCATCAACTGGCAAACTGTTGAACTTGCTCAGTGGGTTAATCCCAGTTAAAAGTTAATATTGTACTAAGCACTAAAATGCTCTTCATCACGTATATAATCTGATAGAATAATACATATTGTTCAACTGAGTATATATGTTATGTTTGAATATAAAGAGTCATAGACAGCTTGGTACAAACTCCTCATGCGTACTGATTATACTTGGTTAATGATGCAGGGGCTTCCAAGAGTTAATACTATGTCAGATACAGTATTCTGGAGGCAGAAGTGGTGCTCAGTTCTAAGACTGAGGAAATACCACAGATCTCCAACTTCAGTGTCTATTAATGTGATTCTGCCTGATTTCTCGGTGCTGATGGTCTAAAGTAAAGTCTAAAAATACCTTGAATATTGATAGGCATTATGAAATCCATCCTTCTTTATCTATTGTGCAGTTACAAAAAGAAAAATTCAAAACACTTAATCCACTCCATAGAAAATCCCTGTGGCTTTGGACACCTTCTGATTTCATTCCTACAGTTTAGACTCCATTTGTCACCATGAGAAGTCGTAGTTTACATGTCTGCGTCTCCATCATAAGCCAAGGTTAAAGGTTTCAGTCGGTTGTTCTGCCTTCTCTGGGGCTTCTTTGGCTTTTTGCTGAAACAAGATAAAAATATTAACAAGATAACAAGATATAATATAACAAGATAACAATAGAACAGGCAACTAATAACATACAAAAACATATTTCAGTCTTAAATTATTGATAATGTATTCAGTTGTTTGTTTATAAAACCTATTAGCCTAAAACCTTCACTGGTATCACTAATTATCCCTTTATCAACCCAAAGCAATATCTAATTCAAAGCTCAGTTGTTCAGAAACAAACTGTTACGATGCTGATGTGACTTGATGAAATCCTTGGCAGGTACTCTCACGACATCACTCTGCCATGCAATATTTGGTCATGTATCAAAACTGCAATCAGATTCTTTTAAATTACGTGACTCAAATATTAAATTGCTCTTGCCACATCAAGGGTTTCTATGGGAAAGATCCATCTTTTGACTGGTTTTATCTCATTATACTTGCTGGAATGCCTACAATTAATTCTAGATGTTGTAATCAAACCAGTCATTAATAGCAGAGGTATGTTTGTTTCCCATAACATTCCTTGTCTAGCCTTGAATTAGATTTTAATCCAGCAGTATTTCTCATCTATTTGATACAGTTTTAAAAAAATACCAGGTCAAAGAAAAATGAATGTTTATCCATGCTTTAGTACTAGTCTTCTTTTAGAGTGTAATGTAACCATTTCTTTAAATCGGGCCTGTGCATCTTCAGTCTTGTCCAAAATCTTATTTCAGCTGTGTCACTTAGGTTGCTCAAATCTGAATCTTTTATACAAAACTTTCTGTTACAATGACTTGCAGTAGCTGGGTTCCAGTCCAAATAATCGCCAGTGTTGTTGAATGATAATGGATTTCCTTTTCCTCAAGCCCCAACCCCCAAAAAACCAAGCAACAAACCATCCAAAATAAAAAGACCACAAAACCCCCAAACAAACAAATTGCACCCCCAACAACAACAAAAACCCCAAACCAAACCAAAACAAACAACACTTCACAAAACCAAACAACAACCAAAAACTCAGAACAAATGTTTATATTACCTAGACAGAAGTGAGATTTTGGGCAAAGTTTACTGAATGACAAACATACCCAGAAGCCCCCAAATGCCTACTAATGCAGTACAGCCAAGAGCCTGATGTATAGGACCACACTTCCCTCACCTTTCACCTGTACTGTCATCTGTATTAGAAATTCCAAACAGGACCTAGAAAACTTCAGGGAGCACATACTCAAAGGTGACTTGTTCAAAAAATAATATCATGTATTAAAAAGTTGAGAAAGTTTTCAGATTTTTTCTGGTTCTGTATCTCTATATCTTGTCACATATAAAATATGATTTGCCTGGTTACTCAATTTCGCTGTTGCTCTTTCTCTCAGCATTTTTTGATACAGACATAATAAATTTTTTCTGGACATTGTATATAACAACCAAGATAAACTGAGCAAAAATGAACTGTACACTAAGCTGCCCCGTGTTTGTAAGTTCTTATACCCTCAGAAGAGCATGTGGTGATCCATCATCCAGAGTACAACCAGAATCTGCTATGTGAGTCTGGACAAAAGGACACTGCAAACTAAATATTGCAGTTCATAGAAGTGTCTGCAGTTTCTACAGCAGCAGATGCAAACATTTTCATTACAGTCTGTGAGGGGGCTGTTTTCTTATAAATAATTAAAGAACTCACCAGGCTAGATAGATCATAGAAACAATAAAGATGAGTAAAACAAATGCACCAGCAGCTACACCATAAACCCAGGTCTTCAGCCTCCCATCTAAAAGGAATGAATGTTAGTCAGTAGTGTTTGAGTTAGTCTAGTTGAATTATTAGTTCTGCTATAGCATAGAAATACTTTAATAATCCAAAATAAATGTCTTCACTAGCACATACAGTTTAATCAGAGTAAATATTGTTAAATAACTGAGCAATGACTTCTCTGTGCTCTGCTTTTCAGTTGAAGTCAGGATAATTCAAATGGAGCTGATGTCTGGGGCAGAGGCAGCAGGTGAGAGACCCAGAAACTCAGCTTTGGGGCCATCTGGTAGTGAGCAATCACCCAGTGTGATCACAGGGCAGTGCATCACCCTGGGACCCCTTTAGCATCACTTTCTATTCTAGCTCTGGTAAAGCAATCTGCCTGTCATTTTTATTCTTGTTCCTCTTTACTTGTATGTTTTTAAATGCCCTTAGCATGCTGTACATCATCCATCCCTTAGCTGCACATACACAACTTTTATTACTGCATCAAGTAGCAAAATTTTAAAATTTCTGTCCCTACTAAATGCACGTTTTGTTGTTATAAGTGACTTCTCACAGAATAAAAATACACAAAAAAAGACAACCCATGCTCATAAATAGAACAACTGTCTGTTGATAAGGACTGTATTTATGTGCAGCCTGTGCATACATACCACTCTCTTTCTTGCCTCAGATGCACCCGTGTCTATGAGGAAAATTATGTGACTTTGTCTGTGGGGTTTTGCTCTGCCCCCAAATGATCAGATCACAACTAAAGGTGAGTGCATGATTTTTGACTCACTACTTTTATCCAACTCATTTTTCAAATTTCTAAATGGCTTTTTGCAAACATTGTTTTCCAGGGGAT